AAAGTCTAGATGTTACTTACTTCATATGGACAGTAGTGGGGCCCTTTGATACCTTAAATGAAATCTTGTTTCTGGAGTATGGCATAAGAAACTGAGAAAGTAATAAAATAGAAGTACTTCTATTGGTGAAGTCAGTGAATCTAGCGAAAGTTTTAAAACTTATGGCGGTATACAGAAGCATTTAATTCTGTACTGCATATTGAAAGAAGCTTTCATCTGTTCACTTCATTGACTGTCTGATGGTTCGTTCTTAGAGTAATCGTAGAATGTGCCTTAAGTTTGGTTCTTTTCTCATGTCCACTCTAATAAAGGCTTTCTAAGGTATAAATGGAAATTTGTTGACAAACAGTAAAGTTGCCTTCTAGGGATTTTTATCCCCGCAGAAAATCTATGTCTAGTGACTGAATTTCCATATAGGTAGCAAGCGTTGCCAGCCCTGGTGGTCTAGTGGTTAAGATTTGTGCTATCACCGCTGTGGCCTGGGGTCATTTCCCAGTCAGGGAACCGCACCACTCATCTGTCAGTTGTCATACTGTGGCCACTGTGTGTTGCTGTGATGGTGAAAGCTGTTCCACCAATATTTCAAATACCAGCAGGGTCACCCACGCTGGAGAGATTTCAGCAGAGTTTCCAGACTAGGCAAAGTAGGAAGAAGGACCTGACCACCCACTTGCAAAAAAGAGTGTCCGTCCTTTGGAATAGCAGCACAGCATTGTCTGATACAGCACCGAAAGGGTGAGAGGAGGGCGCAGAAAGGCTGGACAGGGTTGCATGGCACTAACGACAACAAAGCAAGTGTTACCAATTCATTAATTTTGGCTGTTTTTTATACCTTTCCTATCACCTATAATCCTTTGTATAATTATTTGAATAAAGGACTTGATTTCCCTTCAGAGTCTGTGTTCTTCAGACTGAATCAAACACACCATTGTCACATCTAGAACATCTCTAGTTTGCAGGTACTAAAAACAAGTTTAAAATTTTCGTGTTGCTGTTTGGAAAGTTGAAGTGAGCGGCAGCTCAGTGGGACGAGGGGCAGCACTGGAGAGGTGGCTGGCACACCTGGAGAGGTGGCTGGCACACCTGGAGAGGTGGCTGGCACACCTGGAGAGGCAGGACTCTAGAGCAGTGGCTTGCGTGGGCAACTGGGGTTCAGCAACTGGCCCTTAGCTTTTAAGATTTTTTGTAGGTTTTTGGTTTTGTAGGTTTTCCTGGAGGTAATCAATATCTCAGGGATATGGTTAGAATTAATGATACCAGTCAAATCTCAAGAGACAAATGTTTAAGCCAGAATGCCAGTTTATTGATAAATATTGTTAAGCAGAGTAAATGTTGAAAAATTATTAGGCAGATAGGACATTTGAGTTTGCTGATCAGCTCAATCAACTCAAAATTAAAAGTTTGATTTCTGAAATTGGAATAAATTTATGCCTAACAAAATAAGTATAATTTATTGAGCAGTTGCCCTTTGCCAGGCATTGAAATAGGACCTTGACTTATGCTTATTTTTAGTTATCTCATAAATACTTAGAACATACCTGCATGGTTGATGTATTATTATTTTGATTTTTGGTTTTGAAAATTGAGGCTCAGATTGTTTGTGTGACTAATCTGAATTCCGTTGCTAGTAAGTGGCAGAAGGTAGGTCTTCCTGACTTTGCATGTTCTTTCTCCTAAACTGCCTTCTCTCTTCTGAAATCAGAAGATTAAGCATGGAAACAGAATGGGGTCGGGGTGGGAGCGGGAAGGAGATAATAGGATGATCTTAATACCTTGAGTGACAGCTGGACAACTCCGCGTCTATGGTGAGCACATACTTGTAGCACGTACCAGATTTCCAAGTTAATGGCCAGGGAGCCCTTAGTCTTGCTGCTGGAAGCACGCTGCTGGGTCTCTTCTCTTGAACATTCTCTTTTGTACGCATCATCCCCATTCTTTTAACACATTCTTTTTTCAGGCAAGAGTATAATACAACTTATTAGATATTAGCTCTCTTAGCTGTGATCGCAGTATAATCATGCATTTCAGAAGTTTTGGAGTTGAGATTAGGAGACCTAATGCCTAGTCAAGTCATGACCATCCAGCCATTATCTTTTTGGGAAAGTCACTGAACATCTCATTTTCCACATTGGTTAAATTAATCATCTGAATGCAGGAGTTGGCAAGCTTTTTCAAAGGGCCACATAGTAAATATTTTAGGCTTTGCAGGACAAGAGGCACAATGGAGGATATTATACAGGTACTTGTATGAGCAAGAGAGAAAACTGTCTTACTCAACCGTGTATGCCTGGCATGGGTCACGCTATTTTGTGGGCTTGTTTTGTGCTCAGTTGCCATCAGCTGGAGACATTCAGGGGAGAAGGAGGGAAGGGCCCTAGCAGGCAGGACAGACAGGGTGGCCACTGTGGTCAGTGTCACTCTTCATCAGAGTGACATTCAGGTTCCTGTGCCCTCTTCTCTCCCAGAGAACCCAGCCGTCTCAACAAATTTCAAAGGATTGCAGTGTACAGACCACATCCTGTGATTCCCCCCGCCCCCCAAAGGAAACAAAACAAAAAATACTAGAAAAACTCCATGAGTGGGGAATTAAAGAAGAATTCTGAAATAGCTTGGGGGCCAAAGAAGAAATCAAAATGGAAATTAGTACTAAATTACAGTGTATAACTACTTCCAAGGTAGTAGAGTAAAACAACAGAATGAAACAATATTATAATTCAGTTCAATGAAAGGCAAGAGAGGAATGAGAAAGACACAGAGATGAAGGACAAATGGAAAGCTTGCCATAATGGTAAAAATAAAATTTTAGACTCTCATAACAGTAAAAGCACGTGGAGTATATAGTCCAGTGAAAGGTAAAGGTTGTCAGACTGACTACAAAGAGAAAATCCCACTATGTGTTGTTTACTTGAGAATTGTCTGAAGTTAGGAAAATACAGCACTTGGAAGTAAAAGGATGAAAGGTAACCTGGGAAAAAACATGAGCACCTAAAGGAATACTGATATAGTTATATTAGTATTAGAAAAAATACTCTGTACGGCAAAGGCATTACTGAAGAAAAGGACCAGTAGATAATAATGAAAAGGTTTAATTTGCCAGGGAAACATGGTAATTTTAAGAGTATGCACTTAATAACATAGCCTCAAAAATATAAAGCAAAAACTAACAGTTAAGGAAAGGACAAACTCTGTATCATAATGGGACAATTTTAATACCTCTCTCAGTTTTGATAAATTTAGTAGATGAAAAATGGTGTATATAAGATTTCAACAACACAAATAAGCTTGATCTAATAGACATCAATAGAACAGAGTGTACAACAGGTGCAAAGTACATACTCTTCAACATACACGGAACATCTATAAAAAATGTTGCAAGGTCTAACCCAATTTGTGATACTGAGTTAGAAATTAAAGTCTTAGCCTTTTGAATGCAGAGCTTCTTATGTGATGTATTAATACAAAACATTTTCCTAATTGAAAAAATCTTCATATTTGCTAAATATAGAATCTTCTGTGTATAACACACTGTGGTATCTACAATCTGTTCATTTTTTAATTTGTTCATAAAGTAGTGACAGCTGGCTGAGCACTACATAACAGTTCTCTTGTTAAAATTGTCACAGGAGGGCCAGCCCTGTGGCCAAGTGGTTAAGTTCGCGCTCCACTTCGGTGGCCCAGAGTTTCACTGGTTCAGATCCTGGGCGCAGACCTAGCACCGCTTATCAAGCCGTGCTGAGGCGTTGTCCCACGTAGGAGAACCAGAGGGACCTACAACGAGAATATACAACTATATCCTGGGAGGCTTTGGGGAGAAGAAGAAGAGAAAAAAAAGATCGGTGACAGTTGTTAGCTATGGTGCCAATCTTGAAAAAACAAATTGTAAAAGGAAACCTAGTGGAGTCTGTGTAGTGTAATAGGCTGAGTGTGGACTCCAGGCGTGAATTCTTGCTAAGTCACTTACCAGTTCTGGGATCTGGGGAAAGTTACTTAAGATCTTTAAGACTCATCTATAAAATGAATGTAAGAATGTCCACCTTGTAGGGTCATGAGAAATAAATGAGATACTCTGTATAGAGTACTTGGTACCAAGCAAATCACTTCTGCTCTTATTGTCTTTATTACTCAAAGAATGTTTCCTGAGCATCTGCAAAGTATTAGTCTCACGTGAGCATCTTTAATTCCTAAGACATGATTAGGTATTACGGATATTATAACTCTTAGCCCTTATTTTGCCACAGAGCAGTTACAGATCACCAAGTCTCCAAATCTTTCCTTCTCGCCCTTGCTGGCCTCTTTTCTTGTTGGCCTGCAGGAATGAGAATAAGAAATTGGGCTAAGAGGGATGGGCCGCTCAAAGCATTTCAGCTCTTGGATCAGCTTGCCTTCTTGGTTTTCAGAGCACTTAATACTTTCGTTGGCCCTTATGAACGTGAAGTTATTTTGTATTTTATTTTGACTTGTCGCAGTACACTTTTGCTTTTGCCAATAATAATCCTTCTGGGGTTTTCCTGACTCCCTAATTGGTGGTCTGTTCTGAAGCAGCATGCAGCCCAGGTCTGAAGGATGGATCTTTTGTCCTTTGTCTGACCAGCTGCCCAACTCTGAAAGAGACTCGCCTTCTCGTTTCAACTGCTTGATTCTCAAGAGAATGTAGTTTTGATATTCGGAGGTATTTAGGTAGAAACTCCATAAAATTCTTATGTAGAGAAGGAATTTGCTTTACTTGTAGTTTTTAATGGTTAGCAGTCATGTGTGAGTCATTAATGAAACAAAGCTGTCTCTAGTGGAATCCTTAAAGACGAGTGTTAGTTTGATTAACTAGGACTTCAAGCAAATATGCACATTTGTGTCTTCAAATTTAAAAGTAGTCATTCTCTGCAGATATTCTTGTGAATTCAGTTATATATTTTTATCAAAGGAACTATAAAGTCTTTCAGAAACAAGGGCATGATGTAATCTCCTTAAAACGTTTTCTCATAAAAATGCTTTCTTGTTTTTAGATTACCTCTCTAGTGACCCTTCAGCTATTAACCCTGGTTGGCCATGACGATCAGCTTGATGGACCAAAATACAAATGCACAGTGTCCCTAGACTTCATCAGAGCTATTGCTAGGTAAGCATAGAATAATCGCCAATTTAAAATGTCTTGAATTATGTAGATGACATACTAAATATAAAGATTAATGTTCTTCCTGATGTAATGTCATTAGTCGTTTCAGCAAGAAAAGATCATTTAAGTGCCACAAGTGAATAAGTTTCACTGTAGAATGAACCCTCTCATCAAATTTACAAATGACATAAAATTGGGAGAATTAACTAATGTGTTAGATGGCAAAAATCAAGATTCTCAAAGACCTTAGCAGACTGGAATAATGGTCTCATAGTAGCAAGGTAGGATTTAATGGACTGTTGACTACAAAAAATTCATATGTACTAAAAGAAAATGGGAGAGACCTGGCTTAAGTCCTGAATATTTTGGCTGACTACAAGATTTTAAAAATCCTGGTGTCTCTTTCAAGGGGTGTCATAGGTCTACTCTATGTTGCCATAGGCAAGTCAAATCTGGTGTGCCGTGCTGTGTTTGCAGTTTTAAGAGGGGCATTGACCAGGGGGTACATGCTGAGGGGGCAGTAGAATGAAGAACCCTGTCACATCCCTGACCGAGGGAAGAGGTGTGAGAGAGTAGCCTTGGGAAGGAGATGGTAACTGCGTCAAGTATTTCAGGTCCATCGTGCGCAAAATGGATGAAACTAATGCTGAGCAATTCTAGAGCGTTGGAAGTTCTAGGGAAGAAAGTGTGTCTGTCCAAATGAGAGCTGTCTAAAAATGTGACAGCTTTCCTCACAAAGAGGTGTGCTGACAGTTACCCAGAATGCTCCAGCCATTTAGGTGAATAGGTGACCTCATCTCATGGTGGCAGCTGGATCCCAGTCTGTCCGGACTTGTAGGAGAAGAAGTGTGTGTAGACCGGTCGGAGGAGCAAGATAATCCGTGAGGTAGTGCCTCCCAAACCTTTTTGAATATGAAGAGTCCATTTTAATAGCCTTTTAAAACTAATTATGCAGATATTTACATATATTTCAAAATTAGTAATACACAGGCATGAAACGTTATTCAGACTGAAGACAGTGCTTGACATGGATTTGCAGGTCTCCTCTCATAAATGTTTCAGCTTCTTGAAGTTCTGAAGTCCACAGCTTGGCCAAAGCCTCTGCCTTGAAGTCTCTTCTGAATTAAAAGTTCTCTAATATTATGATGCAAGTATTTGAGACATTTTGATGGCGTGTGGACTCTAAAACCTGAGATGAGAGTTTCGAAATGTGTTGTTATGATAAAATTGCACAAACTTTTACATAGAAGAAATTGAGCAGAAACTTTTTTTGAATGTAATCAGTATGACCATGAAGCAATAACTTTCTTTTTCTAAACAGTAATATTAAAAACTCTGTGCTAAGAGCCTGTGTCAAAGGCGTACCTTTGGAGTGAAGCATGTTTATTTTAGGGATGTTGTCATTACTCAGAATGTGTGGGGTTGTGCCCCAACATAATCATGGTCAAGACGGAGGTTTGTGAGTGCCTAATATGTTGAATTCAGTGAACCAAACTGAATTGGGTGTTACTTAATCTGCAGCATCAGTGAAGTCGTTAAGCACACCCAGAGAAATGCCCTTCCACTTCCCGCCTCAGGAGGGGGCAGGAGTTGTAGAGCTGGTTTTGCCATAGGACTTGAGCACTCCAGCATGTGCTTTGTTCCTTTTTTTTTCTCTACGCCTCCTTGCTTTCCATGCACAGTGTCCAGAGAATGACTGCCTCCTTCTTCCCACATCACCCTATTCCGCTCTCATCCCTGTGGTGGTTTGTCCTTTTCTGCTGATTTCCCTCCCGTTCTTTCCCTGCCTCCCGTCTCCTTCTCTCTTTCCTAATGTTCTTCCTTGTTCCTTAGTGGAAGCCTGATTCTTCCCTGGGGATACTTCCTTGGGGATACTACTTCCCCTGGAGTTGTCTCTAGTGGTAACTACTTATTTTCTCAAACCCCAATCCCTCGGAGTTAAACACTCTTTAAGTGCCATCCTCTCTTCTTGTTACCACTTCCAGATTGCTGCTGCCCCCAGCTGCTTGTAAAAATGTGGGCTTCTTTGGGGCTTCTGCAATCTGACTCTGTTTCCCTATTCTCCTTATGATTGATTATCTTCTACTAGCCTCCCAGCCATTCCACCTCCTGCGTTGAAGAATAGAGCATGTGGTTCACAGGCTTCTTTTCAGCCTAGATTCTTAATGAAACCACAGATCGGAACATCTCTCCTGTACTCACTCTGTTCAGCATTCGGTCTTTCACAGAACAAGATTGAAACCATCAGTTGAGAACTCCTTCAGCTCCCTTCATGGTACCCATCTTCTTTCTTTCCTTTTTCAGTAGGGTGGGATCCCTCTTCCTGTTTAATTGCATCTCCTCCATTTCCCCAGAACCTTTTTTAGTCCTTAGGCTGTTTGTCCTCTCAGTGACACCCAGCACTGTTGGCTGCTCTCTGTTTCTTAAAACTCCTTCCCTTAGAGCCCATGAGGAGCCCAGAAACCCAGTCTTCTGGTTTTCGTCTTTATTCTTTGGCTGATTTTTCTAAGGCTCGTTTGCCAGCTTATCCTCTCTACCTGACCTTTACATGTAGCTGGTCCTTGAGGCTTGGCTCTTTTCTCTTTTCATATTATACTTTTTTCCTAGGCAATTTTAGCTGTACCCATGTCTTCAACAACCATCTACATATTAATGACTCCCCAATTTTTTTTATTATTTTTTTTTGCTGAGGAATATTTGCCCTGAGCTAACATCCATTGTCAATCCTCTTCTTTTTTTTTTTTTTTTTTGCTTGAGGAAGTTGAGCCCTGAGCTAGCATCCTTGCCACAGCATGGCTAGTGAGTGGAGTAGGTCCACACCCAGGATCTGAACCTGTGAACCCAGGCTGCCAAAGTGGAGCACATGGAAGTTTAACCACTCGGCCGTGGGGCCAGGCCCTCCCCAGTTTTTAAAGGCTGGACCCTTATTCTGAGTTTCTTGACCTTTATTGGATGTTTCCCAGCTACATCAATTCATTTCCAAAACTGAACTCAGGAGTTCTAAGTTCTGCTCCTGTCTGCCAGCAAAGAAGGGAGGACCCAGCTTCCCTCCAGTGTTCCCTCTCAGCAGTCAGCACTGCAGTCCGCCGTGTAGCCCAGGCCTGAAGCCTGGGAGTCATTCCTGACGTGTCTCTCCCACACTCCCAGCGTACAAGCATCAGTCCTGTTGACCCCACCAAGGTCCTCCTGTGCGTCGCGGACTCATCCATTTCTGTCGTCTGTGCCATTGCCCCTCCAGACCAAGCTCCAGCGTCTCTCCGCTAGCAGCCTCCTCAGTGATCTTCTCTCTGCTCTCATGCCCTTGGGATTTGCTGTCCACACCACAGCCAGAACGATTGTCTACAAGTTTCATGTCACCCTCCTACTTAAGTCTTCAGTAGTTTCCCCTAACTCTTGGGGTAAAAACCCAGAATCTTGAAAATAGCCTACGAGGCCCCCTTGGGCAGAGCCCTGCCTGTGCCCGGCCCCATCTGGCACACGTCTTCTCCCTGGGGTTTGCGCTTACCGCTCTGGCTTCTTTCAGTTCTTCTCATTCACCACCCTGCTTCCCCGCTTTGCCTGTGCGGCACTCTCCAGCTCCTCCTCTCCTTTATCCAGCTAACTGCAGCGCCACCTTTAGATTTCAGTTTAAATGTGTGTTCCTGAAGAAGCCTTCTCGGATACACCGTCACCACCGCCAGCCCTCCACACACAGTGTTACAGGTCGCATTGTCTTCTCGTGATTCGTATCATAGTTTTAATTAATTCATCTTTCCTTCTACAGTGTAAGACCATGAAGCGCAAAGCACAGACTGCACAATCACTCTCTTACCTCAAACCCAGCACAATGCTTAAACCTAGTATATGCTGAACTTATAAATATTGTGTGTTTTCCTGCAGTGGTTAGCAGTAAAACTTCAGCTGAAAGGGAACCACTGTGGGCTTGTCTTTTGGGGCAGCAAGATAACGGCAGCTAAGGAGACACACACTCATTCCAAATCGAGGCTTGGTAGGGAGAGGAGATCCCGAGGATGGTTACCCCTGAAGAAGTAGGTAGGCTGAATTCCAGACCTGTGGCAGGGAATGAGCAGTTAGATCACAGGACACACGTAAATGTCCAAAATAGGGGAATGGGTCCGTGATTTATTGTACATTTTTATGAAAAACTCTATAGTTATTAAAAATCATACTTTGAAGGATAACAGCATGGGGAAATACTCTTGTTATGAGTTTAAGGGGATAAAGCAGTTATATATAAAGTTGTATATACAAGAAAAGTGGGAAAACCTAAGGGAAGGGAGTAATGGTCAAAATTGTCAATTGCTTCCAAGAAATCAAGCCGAGTCCATCCGATCTAAGGATAAAGCAGTCATTTGTAACTTTATCAGGAAAGCTTTCAGGGATGTAGTGGGGGTAGAAGTCAGATTATAGTGCATCTAAGTCGTAGTTCAGACAGTTGATGCAGCGAACAGAATGCTTTCCATTCATTTATTCATTGAACGTTTACTGTGTTGTCCATTATAATCACTGTGCGAGGCTTTGGGGATGTGGCAACAAGTGTAACAGACCCGTAACCTATCCTTATGAGCCCATATTCTAGAATTTTATTGCCATGAAAAAGAGAGGATTCTTACCTACTAAAGGGATTGTGGGGTTATGAGAGGGTCATTATTTTTAAAGATTTGAGCATATTTAAATGCTGATGGCAAGAACTGATACAGAAGGAGAGCTGATGATACAAAAGAGAGAGAGATTAATTTAAAGCACAAAGTCCTTGAAATGGTAGGTAAGCATGGGATTTAGAAACATGAGTTGAAAGAAATAGCCCTGGATGAGAGAAGGGGAATCCTTTTGCATTATAACGAGAGGACAGGGTGGATTCAGGCAGAGCTGAGTTTGGAGGTTTGGTGGCAAGAAGTTAAGGAAGTTCTGATTTGATGTCTTCTGTTTTACCTGTGAAGGAGGAGCCAAAATTGAGACTAAGGACAGAGGTAGTAGCTGTTTGAGAGGAATGTGGATATTTG